ACTGTAGAGTGTAGTGCACAATGCTGTTCATAGTATTTATCCAGCTGAGAGAGGATGGGGCTGTGCTTAGCTATTGCTGCAGCTTAGAACAGTCCTAAAGTCTGGCTTGATTTAGGCTAGACAGGCTGTGGGATAGTTATTTGAGGCACACTCAAGGACTAGGTGAACTAGTGAACAAGGGAATTTGGCAGCTCATTCAGGGCAGAGATCTTCAAACTGAGCTACATGGACTTTGGGGGGACAAAAAGACTTATGATTCACGCAGGCAACTTGGAAAATTAAATATAGGAATTAATTTCTAGATTCTCAATTGCTATATATATTCTTTCTTAGAATTGTTCTATCTGGCCCTAACTGGTTTGGCTCAGTGGATGGAGTGTCAGCCTGTAGACTGAAGGGTCCCAGGTTCGATTCCAGTCAAGGGCATGTACCTTGGTTGCGGGCACATCCCCAGTAGGCAGTGTGCGGAATGCAGCTGACCAATGTTTCTCTCTCATTGATGTTTCTAACTCTCTATCCCTCTCTCTTCCTCTCTGTAAAAATAAAATAAATAAAATATGTATTTTTAAAAAAGAATTGTTCTATCTGAAAGTGGTCCAGGTTCTAAGCTCCCCTTTCACACCGGTCCTTCCTCTACTTTTTAAAAGAAAGACATATTCTTACCCCATTCTCCTGTGCCCATCCACCCCAGAGTATAAGGACTGTTTATGGGGCCAAGTGATGTGCGGTGTAAATGCTAGTGTTGAGAATGGAAAGCGTTCTGCCTCCTGGGCTCCACGACCTCCGGACAAGGTGGGTCCCAACTTTTGCAGTCATCACAATGGAAGTAAGACTGAAACATCACTCAAAATAATTCTGGATGATAAAGTCTATATTGCTTTTGGTATACAATTTAATGACATTTATGTAACAAATGCTTTTTATTCACAACTTTCTATTTTTGTAAGAATATGTTTTATTAGAATTTAGAGCTTTAAAAATTGAAACAGAAGTAAGATTGTTGTTGAACCTGTCTTATTCCAGTAAGAAGTATTATTAATTTAGAGCTAAATGGAGATACAAAAAAGCCCCATTAATTCACCACCAACTACAATTCCAATAAAATTTAACTTTTAATGTTTAGTAATTATATATCAAAATTTAAATTTATTTGATGAATGGCATACTATTAATCATCATAATGATGAGCCAATCTAGAAAACAATACATTTTTAAGACAGAAATTTGCAATTCATAGGATATCAAAATATTTCATTTATTTAATTTTTTGTTGCAGAGAAGTATGATAGGGTGATCAATATGATTTTCAAGTATAGAATTATATTTCACTAGCATGTATGTGGAGAAAGAATATAAATATGAATTCAAGAAGAAAATTAATATAAAATTCTGTTGTTAAAGAACTTGTACACATATATTTTAAACTGAAAGGACATTGATAATAACAATTAATTGGTGGTAAAAATTAATTTCCATGGCCTTATGATTTCTAGGCCACACCTGAAATAGTTTTATTTTATAGGTCATCATTTACAGTGTTCCAAATTATACTCTTTGGAACTATTTAAAAGAAGATGAAAATTTTAGATATGAACTTGAAAAAAAAAGAAAGAAGGAGTGTGCATAGGTTTTTCAAAATTCTTATGGGAGTATGAGAACAGAAAAGTCTGAAGGCTGCCATGCCTGTGGTCAGGTGGGAGAAGGGATATGTATTACAGTCAGTTCTGCTAGTTATTAGCTCTGTTACTTTGTACAGATTACTTGCGTTTATCCAGTTTGTTTTTTCTATACAATAGAAATAATACTTTGGCCGAAACCATTTTGGCTCAGTGGTAGAGTGTTGGTCTGCGGACTGAAAGGTACCAGGTTCAATTCCGGTCAAGGGCATGTACATTGGTTGCAGGCACATCCCCAGTAGGGGGTGTGCAAGAGGCAGCTGGTCGATGTTTCGCTCTCATCGACATTTCTAGCTCTCTATCCCTCTCTCCTCCTCTCTGTAAAAAGTCAATAAAATATATATTAAAAAAAAGAAATAATACTTTTCTTACTAAACCCGATGAAAAGGAAGTGACTTGATGTGAACAACACTTAGCAAAGAATCCTACATATGGTCAGTAAGTGCTTGTTTCTCTTCACTCCCCCCAAAGCTGTTATGGTTTCTCTCCATCTTCCTCACTCTCCCTTCCTCCACTTCCTCACCTGTATTCAGAGTTAGCCTCATCTTACATTTCCTATTTACAATAATATATTGGTTTCACATTCCAAAGTGTCTTCCCCAAGTTTATACATCCAACAAATGCATCCTGGAGCACTTACTGTGTTCCAGACATTATTGTGGCACTGGGGATAAATCCGGAATAAAAACAGATGAAATCCCTTTACCACACTGTTGAGAGTATTCATGGGGTATGCATGTATGCACATAATTTCTTTGGTCAATCTCCTCCCATCCACCCTACTCCTCTCACCTCTGAGATCTGTCAGTCTGTTCCATGCATCCAAGCCTCTGAACCTACCATGTTTTCCCGAAAATAAGACATCCTCCAAAAATAAGACCTAGTGCATGGAAAGACATCCCCTGAAAATAAGACCTAGGGCAACTTTGGGAGAAAAAATTAATATAAGACACTGTCTTATTTTGGGGGAAACAGAGTATTAGTGTGGTGAAGGCCTGGGATGGGGTGGGGCCTAGGTGGAGGCAGGAGAGGGAAAAAATAGGGGACATCTGTAATAATGTCAACAATAAAAAATAAACTTAAAAACAAAGATGAAATCCATGTGGTCATAAACCATATACGATAAATAAGTGCATGGTGGTGAGAATGCATCAGATACTCCCCATGTAATTGTGTCTGTTATTATCAGTATCTTTCACATTGGGCAGTCCCACTAATGGGGAGACCAGTTAAGTTTTCTGCAGATTGTTCCATCTGTCCATCCATCTGTCCAGCCATCCAGCAATTCTATTAAAATGTACAAAGAGCCGGGACTGGTTTGGCTCAGTGGATAGAGCGTTGGCCTGTGGACTGAAAGGTCCCGGGTTCGATTCCGGGCAAGGGCATGTACCTTGGTTGTGGGCACATCCCCGGTGGAGGGTGTGCAAGAGGCAGCTAATCGATGATTCTCTCTCATCGATGTTTCTAACTCTCTATCCCTCTCTCTTCCTCTCTGTGAAAAATCAATAAAATATATTTTTAAAAAAATGTACAAAGAAACTCCTAGGTTTCAAGACCGTGATCCGTGATAAGGCATTCTTACTCTGAAAGGTGATTACAGCAATACTCTATTTTAATAAAATCCCCTTTTGTACCCCCTTTATCACAATTATGCATAGAGAATAATTGCATCATGTATCTCTTTTTGGGTAAAAGTGCAAATATCTCTGATCTTCATTGATTTCTGCCTGTGCTTTCTATTTTTTTAAAGCTAGAGGCCCAATGCACAAAATTTGTGCAAGGGGCTCAGTCCTCATAGCCCCAGTTTCATCTGGAAGATCATCTAGAAGGACATCCAGTCTAATTAGAATATTATGCTTTTATTATTACAGATATCAAGTACATTTAAAATGATTCAAACCAATTCATGCATTCCTTCAAAAACAATAATTTGTTTTCTTGAGACTGGCTTCTAGAATGAAACTAAAAAAGCCTTTATTTAAAAGGATGGATTTAGGGATGGGAAAAGATCTGGGCACTCAAAGAGATTCTGTTTCTATTGATTGTGAAACTGTATCATGGAATGTTGTTCTACCACTTAGAAAACTTACTTAGAAAACTAGCCTCTCATAAATACAGCATTGAGTTAGGTTATCCAGATTTTACCCAGAAATTTAAAAATAGCTTGTAATATTCAATACTCCTAATTTTCTTCTCTCTGCCCATTTCTGGTGTTCAGATAAGCCAGTTTTTAAGATGAGACATTTCAATTCTTTGAGCCAAAATTATCTTTTATTAAAGTCTTAAGTTCTTATTTTATTGAGATAAATTTCACAAAATAAAATTCATCTTTTTTACTCCTTTAGAATTTATAATTCAGTGTTTTTTAGTATAGTCAGAATGTTGTGTAACCATCACCACTATCTAATTACAGAACATGTCCATCACCCCAAAAGAAACTCCGTACCTCCCAATTCTCCTCTTTGGCAACCTCTCATAATCACTAATTGATTTTCTGTCTCTATGGATTTGCCTGTTTTGGATATTTCATCTATAGGAAATCATAAAGTATGTGACTCCTTTCACTTAGCATAGTGTTTAAGATTCATCCATGTTGTAGCATGTATCAGTCTTCCATTTTATTTTATGGCCAAAGGGAATGTATGGATATAGCACATTTTGCTTATCCAGTCATCAGTTGATGGACATTTGGCTTGTTTCTGCTTTTGGGCTATTATGAATAATTCTACTATGAATATTCATGTGCGAGTTTTTGTGTAAACATATATTGCCAATTCTCTTGGTTATATAACTAGAAATGGAATAGCTGGTTCAGATGGTAACTCTTATGTTTAACTTTTTGAGGCACTATCAAAATGTTTCCACATTAGTTGTATCATTTTACATAAAATTATATTACATATATTTGTTCTATATATACAAAATATGTATTTCTACACTAGAAGGTTCCTTTCCTACTTTCAAGCACTTGAGTGAATTTAAATTGGATTTTCAAGGAAAACAATTAAATAAAAGAAAATTCCACTTAGAGAAATGAAGCAATACTTTCTATGCAAGCATTTTATGCATATATATGTATATAGATACACTTTTTACTTCTCAAAAACATATTTGACATATAAGGAATTTGAGAATATTTTTATTTTTAAGAATAAAAATTGATATTTATTCCATTTAATCACCACTAAGGAAAGATTATATAATTTTTTGAAGATTTGTTTCAAAAAATATTTTTATCACTAACTATGGACAAGGAAAGTAATTATTTGAATTTTATAATCCAAACTGTGTTTTAAAGGCTATGTTTATATTTACCATGTACAGACTTTAAACCTCACTTATGAATGAGAATCATCCAGAAGAGAAGACTAAGGACTCAGACTGGCTGTGCAGTAAGCCATGCACATGGAGGTAGCAAGGTGCTCTTTCTGGTGGTTCAAGCTCTTAGCCACAAAGCCCTGGTAAGTATCCTCAGTGCTTCTATTCAATAATAATGCTTACTCAATCTTGTTTTTTATATTTTCATTTATTTCAGAGAGGAAGGGAGAGGGAGAGAGAGATAGAAACATCAATGACGAGAGAGAATCATTGATCTGCTACCTCCTGCACATCATCTACTGGGGATCGAGCCTGCAATCTGGGCATGTGCCCTGGACCAGAACTGAACCTGGTCCCTTCAGTCCACAGGCCAATACTCTATCCACTGAGCCAAACTGGCTAGAGCTCAATGTTGATTTTATAGGTATGAATTATATGAATGCTTCATGTGTCAAAAAGCCAGTCATTCCAGAAATCTTTGGGTTATGCCTGCCATTTTGCACCTAATTTTTATTATTAAACACAAATCCTTTCTCTTTTCCCTGAATTGTACCCACATACTCTTATTGAATGGGAAGGAGGTCATTTAAAAGCTGCAGGATCTGGCTCTTACACACTGGGTTTGAAGAGCAAAAAGTTTCCTGTATGTCCAGAGCAGCAGAGTCCCTATAATTAGCAGAATTAGTTCAACACATTTCACGAATGTAGTAAGCAGGATACATACCCACAAAGAAGTGTACATCCTAATCCCATGACTATGTTTTGTTTTGTCGTGAGGGAGACTTACAGTTGCACATGGAATTAAGATTGCTAATCAGCTAACCTTTCCAGGGGGAGATTATCTTGGATTATCAGAGGGGCTCCAGTATAATCAGAAGGGCCCTTCGAAGTAGAAGGACGCAGGAGAGTGAGAGTCCAGGAAGGGATGTGGTAGAAGGAGGGGAGGTCAGAGGGATACAGCAAGAGAGAGATTGGACCCACCCCTGCTGGTGTTGAAGATGGAAGTGAGCATGAGCCAAGGGATGTGGGCAGCCTCTAGAATCCAGACAAGGCAGGGAACAGGGTCTCCCCTGGTACCTCCAGAAGGAACACAGCCCTGCCAATGCCTTGATTTTTGCCAGTGAGACCCATTTGGGACTTCTGATCCCCAGACCATAAGATAATGAATGTGTGTTATGTGTTAAGCCTCTGAGTTTGGGTAATGTGTTACAGCAGCAGTAGGAAGCTAAGATGACATTGTTACAAGTGACTAAAAGAGACATTGGGAGTTAAGGCAGAGGAACATTAAATAATGAAAATATGAAAAGTTTTCAAGCTTATAAACACACATTATGGGCAATGAAGGAGGAGAGGGTGGTGGAAAGGAGCATGTACTTATCAGAAGTACTGTCAAGTCTTACTTGTGTGGAGAGCATGTGGAGGAAACTGAAAAGTAATCTTAATTTTAAACGGTTCTTTAAAGAACTCATTATTTTTAAACATATACTGCAGGAGGAGGAGGAAGGAGAGACTCAGACCTGACCTGACCACCCCCACCCCAACTTGGTACCATTCGGCCTGTGACTTTTGAGCACATCATTCAACATGTCTGAGTCCCTTTGCATCGAGTAAAATGTGGAAAAACATATCCTGGCTACAGTTTTAAGGATATATATATAGAACCTTCCTTATTTACATATGTCCAACGTGGTACAGAGCCACTTAACAAACAATGATTGTAAATACTTTAACTTGATTGAAAACAGTTTATTACTGAGTCTAATACCTCTTTCACTTTTTTATTCTCTTAATTCACTTAGTCGCTTCACTGAAATGCCCACCTCACCTTTTGGGGGATTTTCATGAATTCAAATAGATGGGTCGGGAGAAGGGGGACTTCAGTGTGGAAATCAGTAAGTGTGGCTAGACCCGCCCCTGTTTCCTGTGTTCCAGCCAGGGCCTCCTCCAGGGGCATGGCTCTGTGGGTGGCTGTGGTGTTTATCAGCATCTCAGCACAGGACGAAAGAGTAGAGGGTGGAGAATGAAGGCTCACTCAGGACGGGAGGGTTCAGTGAGGAGATGAATACACAGAACAAAGGACAGGCTGGCAGAGAAGTCATGGCCCAGGCTGGGGCCCTTCTCTCAGCCTTGAGGATGATGTGATTGGAAGCCCCAACTCCATCATAGCTGTTTTAAGGGTAATTACAGAAGCTCTTGGACAAATATAAGACCAAAGCCGATGATTGTGAATGTTTAGTGGTCACCTTGGTCAGTCCCAGCTGCTCTGACAAACACCATAGACTGCATGGCAACAGGAATTTATTTTTCATGGGTCTGTAGATTGGAAGTCCAAGATCAGGGTGTCAGCAAGGTGGATTCTGGGGAGGGCTCTCTTCCATGTTGTGTACTGTTGCCTTGAGGGTGGGAGAGCTCTCTGGGACCCTTTTATTAGGACACTAATCCCATTCATGAGGATTCCACCCTTTTGACCGAATTCCATTCCAAAGGCCATATCTCATAATACTATCTGGATTAGGATTTCAACATATGTATTTGAATGACACAAATATTCAGACTTTACAGTGGTCCCTTTTGGTTCATTTCCCCTCTGTTAAAATTTGTTTATAATAATGAAGTTACTCCAGTTAGATTTCTGCCTCAATAATAAGAACCCGAACTACCTAACCCTTCCCTAACTAGCCATATTATTTCCACTACCTTTCAAACTAGTTCCCTATCCAGCTAGGTTCCCTTCCCTCCTACCTCCTTCTACAATAGTTGGCTTTTCTTAATATCATTCAGCATACACTGCCTTTGCACCGTTCCTGAGCAAAGCCTCTCCTCTCTAGTTTTCATTTTGAGAGTTATTTTCCTTCACTCATCTATCCATCCAAGCCTCACCTTCAGTGTGTCCAGGACACCCAGCACAATGAGGACCTCACTAAGGGCTGTGAGTACTTCTGGACTGATTATAAGGGAAAAGTTAGTGAAGACCACTAGAGAGAGGATAATGTTTATCTTGTCACTGATGACAATCAGCTGGTGCCAACAGCTTATTAAATATAAGGAGTTTTCTAGAATTAATTCCTCTATTTATTTACTTATTTATTATGGCTTGCATGAAAAGGGACAGTTTAAATTCATCTACATTTTTGCTTTTTTGTAGGTCACTTATGCTTATTATCTTTTCTATGCAACTTGTATATGGGGTAAGTACATTAATTAGCTCCAATGGCATGCTGAAAATTCACTTTATTGAATGCATTATTTTTGTTATATTTTTAATCAAGTAGCTCCCTGGGGTTCAGTTTTCTCATCTGTAAAATAAAGTGTTGGACTAGATGAACTCTAAGGTTTCTTTTATCTTTTACAGTCAAGATTGCTTAGCAAACTGCCTCCAAATGATATTGGAGATGTTTTTATTTTATAATATAATCCTTAAAAACATTTTTGGAGAGGGCCAGAAAGCAGCTGGGCCACTTCACAATTAAATTAAGAAGTATAAGATTAAATTTGAAATTTTAACTTCGGAGTAAGATAAGCCTAGAACATTCTGTAATAATATCTAACAATCTCAGTTATTAAAAACCAACTTCAGATGTTTCTGGGAAATTCAATGGGCTGACTGTAACTCAGGTCGATCTTAAAAGACAACTGCGCTGGATTAAATCACTCTAGTGAACACATTTCTATTTGTCCATCTCTCCAGCTTGGATCCACCCAATCCAATTTCTGTGATTATCAAAGCAAATCAAATAGAAAACTTCTTTCTGTTCTCTTCTTATCAGTCAAGAGTAGAAGGCATTTGTGTTCAGAAATGAGAAGTCTTGGTTCTTGGCTGTGACAATGACTGATCTCTTAACCTATCCAAGACTCAGTTTATCCTAATAGAAGTAAAGATAAGATTTTTCCAACTTAGTTCACATGCACCTGAGAGCATCACCTGAAATAATAAATGAAAACACACTGAAATATGTGTGTGGATTTTTTCTATTTATTCTACTTGACATTCCTAACTTTATTTTTGTATTATATTATTTTTATTATGATGATGATGATGGTTTACAGAATCCTAAATTTTACTTCCTTTGTTCCTTATGTTCCATGTGAGTGAATTTGGTTCCTAAACTAAAGATGGTCCTGCCCTGAATTCTCCCACCAGCCTGTGTAGGCAGAGATTCTAGAGTTCACATGGGGAGTGGCTATGCCATAGTTGGGTTGTAAAGGTGGAGATATAAATTGCTACAGTATCAATGGGAGGATTTTAAGTGCACTAGCTGTTGACACTGGAATTTATCTTTTTGGAAATTATCATATATACTTATATTGGCTTGTGAATAAAGATAAATGCACAACAATACTAGTTGCAGGATATTGTTCAGTAGCAAAAGAAGGGAGATAGTTACATTTCCATAGGTAAAGACTGATTACACAAGTTAGAATACTTTGTCTGGAGCCAAATGTATTATTTTGGTATGATTTTGAAAACATCTGATTAAGTGAAAACAGCAAGGCCCAAGAAAATATACTACACCAAAAAGTTGTGTGTGTATGCACATGATAATCACATGAATATGCTTATAAATACCCAGACACCAATTTGAGGAGATCAATTACCTGCAGGCGAGAGAATGGGAGGCCACAATGGAAGAGAAAATGTCTTTTCCCACTATACTCTTTTGCACTATTTGTGTGTGTGTGTTTTTTTTTTTAAATCATGTGCATATGTTATTTATTTTTCAAATAAGAAAATAGTGGTAAGGTAAAAAAAAGAAAATTAAATTAATAAATGCCCAGGGCCAGGTCAGGACAGGATGAAAGCATTAAAACAACTAGTCTGAACACTTAGGTTCATTTGAGGTTGGTTCATTACTATGTGTTCAGTGAAATATCAAAACAACCAGGGAAAAAGGAGGGGCAGATGACTAATCTATAAATTAATAACATTAACTTCTTAAACTTTCTATGCAATAAATATTTATTTAAAAATATCTGTCATAAAACAGATCCTCACTTTTCCTTTTCTTCTCTTTGAAGAAGTTACATTGTTTTTAGAGAATGTCAGTATATTGCCAGTGAGTCAGTATATATTTTGAATGTTGACTTGTCTAAGCTAGAGTCTTTATCTTCTTTTAATGGGTTCCTACAATCTGTTTTTTATTTTATTTATTTATTTATTTATTTATTTATTTATTTATTTAAGATTTGTCCTCTACAAATGCCTCCTCCTTTTCAAATGCTGTTTATTAGGCTGTGTCGAACGTAGAACTTTGTAGAGACTAAAATTACCTCTTGCTTTTTTCTTTTATTGATCCAAGTCAAAGCTTTACATACAACTATTTCTGTTTATTAGAATCTGCTGAACTATTTTAAACTGATTCTTCTCTGAATGTAATTGTGCTCCAACATCTCAGTGATGCTTGGCCCAATGAAGTTAAAAAACAAACAAAACACAAACAAACAACACACACAAACACACACACACACACACACACACAACAATAAAACAACAAACTTGCTTTTATTATCAAGCCATCGAATCAACTGCCCCTCCTTTTTCCCTGGTTGTTTTGCTATTTCACTGAACACATAGTAATGAACCCAACCTCAAATGAACCTAAGTGTTCAGACTAGTTATTCCAATGCTTTCATGCTATCCTGACTTGGCCCTGGGCATTTATTAATTTAATTAATTAATTTATTTATTTTGCCTTACCAGCATTTTAAACTCTATGTTTCTAATCATAAATAACAATGTTACTCAAAACTCAAGAGGCATCTATTTCTAAAACTTCAAATACATTTTTTAAACTTTAATTATCTAATTGCTTAGCTCTTGTCAAGGTTTAAATTCTTATATACTTTCAATGACCCATTAAGAGTTCTGTTTATAAGGATATCTTTTCATTAATGCTTAATGTAAAAATATTTTCTTTTGAATTGTTTCTGAGCATCATTTTTCTGAAAAAAAGAAAAAAGAAAAAAAAGAAGTCTAAATTAAGTGATTGAAAAAGAAAAAAAATGCTATGTAGACTCCTTTCTCTCCTATATACATATATTTATATATGTGCATATTCGTATACAAATATATATATTCACATACATATCTATGTACTTACATCAGTACATCAGAACTATAAATATTGGTTTAATTGTTTCCCATTATACATTAATCTAAGACTTAAGTTTACAGCCTTGAGTTTGAAACAATCTACCGGTTACAGAAATGTGTGGTTAATACATGCATGCTGCAGTGAACTGTGGCTGGATCATGCCTTTCTGACATTTGTATTAATGCCCTCAGCTCCTGGCCCTGGAGCTGCTTTAGGCACCACTCTCCCAATCACAGCTCAAGCCAGTGACAAAGCCCAGAGCTCATCTCAACTGCACCATCATTGAAGAATCTACCTATGGAAACAGCTCCTCTGGAAATACACTTTTTTTTTGTATTGAAGTGATGGATGACTCTAGATGCAGATAATGAGGATTTGTGAGAGCAGGGGACTAATTTCCCCAAAATTAGAGCATGTGTGTGTTTGAGGGGAGCATTAAAGTTGAGAAAATACATGAGTCTTTAAAGAGAGTGTTGAAGAAAAATCAGATAAAGTGGGGGAAGGCCCCAAATTATTTAAGTTCAGGAGCTTTCTGGTTGAGAGACATCTTGGAGGAACCGTCTTGAAGCATCAGCAAATTGTAGGAAGAACCATTTGTTACCAGTGTTGACATCAGAGGGGCTCCATGAAGGAGACACGCCCTAACTGATCTTGGAGGTAAAACAAGAGGGTCCTGAAAAAGAAAAGCAGTCAAACTTATACTCTGAATTAGACACCATTGTGCACTTACATTTTTCCTAACTATACACTTTACACTCTAAGATCATTCACAACTTAATAAATGAATCTTAAACTGGAGACAGAAATGCCAAAGGTTCTGGTGAAAGCCAATTAGCTTCAAAAGAGCCTTTTGGAAGTCCTCGCTGACATAAAGTATCCTGGCCCACATAGATTTTTACTCTTCTCACAAAGTCATCGATCCTCTTTCTTATCAAGCCACAAGGTAAAATCTCTACCTTTTTATCTAACACTCTTAGTCTCTTATTTTCAAGACTCAAAGCTAAAGGTATACTCTGGTCTCCTCATGAGTTAGGCAAATCAAGCGTGCTTGTAATGTGTGTATCACGTACATGGCTAAGGGATGTGTTGCATGTACTGAATCAGATGTTTCACCTTCCAGAGCGGAAAGAAGTTCACTCCTTGTGGAGGGAGAAATTGCTCTGTCTGCCAGTGCTTTCCTGAAAAGGGGTCGCGGGTAAGTGATGTAAACCCCACATGGACACGGGGAGGGGAAATAGCAGGTACTAATTAAAGGGCATAGAGTTTCAGTTAAGCAAGTTGAGTAAGCTCTAGAGATCTGCTGTATAGCATTCTGGCTATGGTCCACAGTAATGAATTGCTTCCTTAAACACTTGTTGAGAGGGTTAACCTAGTGGTAAGTGTTCTTACCACAATAAATGTTCTTAAAAAATCAACATGGACAGCATTCTGAATTTTGATCCATTCGTGATATTTAACATTAAGTAGTCCTGGATTCTTAGCACATTCTGGTGGTCGACAATGTTTGCATCTTTTATAACCAAAGTTCTGTACATTCTGAGAAGCAATCTCAATTACATTAGACCATGCATCAGGCTTAGCAGACAGTCTGGACAGCAGTGTTTCACCCAGTGATTTGCCAACTGCAGAAAGGGTCCCATTGTTAAAGGAGACATCCTGGGTGGCTATCTTGATATTCATGTTGCATATCAGCATTTTAAAGGCTGCAGTTAGTTTTTTTGTTTTTTTTTTTAAAGCTTGCTTAACTTTGTTTAAACTAGTGTTTCCAGACATATGTTTATAAGACTCTTATTTGGATAACACCTGTTGAAATACTGTGGTCTAGTGATCTATAATAAAAGGAATAGTCTCATTTCTCACGTATTTCTCCTGTGCCAAGCGCTGACTTCTCACAACAACTTTCTTATAGCCTTGTACTGACCTTTCGGTGCAGAAGACAGAGGCACAAAGCCCTGCGTGTCTTGCTCAAATCCACCCAGAGTGTTGATTTTGACTACACAAGACTCTCTGGTCTTGAAATGCCCAAGAACCCTTTTGGGTATAGTGGATCTACTGGATATTTATAAGACTCTCCCTTATATAGTTGCTGAAGCAGCTGGCAGCCCACTAACTCATTTGTGCTAGAGAATTAAATAAAAAATTCTTTTGATTAAAAATACTTCCACAATCTTACAGGGAAAGAGTGTGTTTCAGAAGCTTTGGACAGTGTTTGAGGCAGAGCAATGATTCTGTTGAAACATGTCTGAGTCGATCCTATGGGGCTGTGCATGAAGCTCTGAAAGCACGATTCGGTAAAGATCAGTCGATAGGGACTGAAATATTACTGTCTTGAGAGAAGGGGCTGTATGTTCCTCCAACAGCATCTGTTTATCTGCACACATGGTAGGTGTGCAATGTGTATGGGGTTCCTTTGTCCATCAGCTGCCTTACTGAGCTTGGGGAAAATCTTTTTTTAAGCTATTTAGTTTCTTCTTCAGTACTTCAAAGATTTCAGTGATTGGGATTTATCATGAGCGTTTTCAAGCCACTTTATGATACAATTTTTAATTTTTCATTACAACTGACATATAACATATCAGTTACAGGTTTACAGCATAACAGTTAGACATTTATGAAGTGATCTCCTCAATAAGTCTAGAATGCACCTGGCACCATACATAGTTTTTACAATATTATTGGCTATATTCCCTATGCTGTACCTTACATCTGCCTCATTATTTTTATAACTAGAGGCCCGGTACATGAAATTATTGCACGGGTGTGTATGTGTGTCCCTTAACCCAGCCTCCACCCTCTCCAAACTGGGACATCCCTCTCACAATCCAGGACTGCTGGCTCCCAACTGCTTGCATGCCAGTCTGCCTGATTGCCCCTAAATGCTTCTGCCTGCCAGCCTGATCAATGCCTAACTGCTCCCCTGCTGGCGTGGTCCCCCAACTGTCCTCCCCTGCAGGCCGGAGTTTTCTGCAACTGTCCTCCCCTGCTGGTCCACTCACCCTTAACTGCCCTCCTCTGAAGCCTGATCACCCCCATCCTCCCTCTCTTGCAGGCATGGTCCCTTTCATCTGCTCTTCTCTGCTGGTCTGGTTCCCCCCAACTGCTCTCCTCTGTCAGCCTGGTCACCCCTAACTGCCTTCCCCTGCTGGCCTGATTGCCCCTGTAATGTGCAATGTAGTGACTGTAGTTATTAACACTGTTCTCGGCATTTGAAAGTTTCTAAGGAAGTAGATCTTAAAGATTGTCATCACAAGAAAAAAAATTGGTAGCTATGTGTGGTGATGGCTATTAACTAGACTTATTGTGATGATCGCAAATATCAAATCATTATGCTATATACCTGAAACCAATATTATATTAGATGTCAATTATTTCTCAATTTTTTAACCTATTAACCGGGGAGTTCCCTTTTTAAACCTGTTAACTGAGCGGGACCTATAAATATGTCAAACATAAACAATATCGAGAAAGGGTAGGACATATGAATACGTCTTGGAAATATATGTTGTGCCCTGAGAGGGACGGTATATATTTTTTGTAATCTTTTTTTAAAATATATTTTATTGATTTTTCACAGAGAGGAAGAGAGAGGGATAGAGAATTAGAAACATCTATGAGAAAGAATCATCGATCAGCTGCCTCTTGCATACCCCCTACTGGGGATGTGCCCGCAACCAAGGTACATGCCCTTGACCGGAATCATACCTGGGACCTTTCAGTCTGTAGGCTGACACTCTATCCACTGAGCCAAACCAGTTTTGGCTATTTTTTGTAATCTTTATAATTGTTTATAAAATTTATAATTTTTTAATTTGATGTTTCCATTTTTTTGTTGGTATTCTTTTCTATTTTTTTATAATTTTGTATTTTCCTTGGTGCTTTATATATAAATAAATTAAAAATATATATATATATCATTTATTTTAATTAAGTATAAATAAAAAAATAATAATAATATGAAATTACATCCTCTGGGCGTGACGTACTGACACGTCCTAGTGAAAGAGTACGCGCCCATTACAGGTTGCGTAATTAAAAGTAGGGACACTAAAAACTAGCAATCTAAGAAATGCTTTAGCCTTTTTCATGTAAACATGCACATTATTTAGGATAAAAAGCCTGGCTTTTGTGAGGTTATTATAAATAATAAACATATTAAGAATGTATAAATGAAAAAGAAAATAAATCAGTGCATCAAATTTGAAGATTTTTTGAGCTTTAGACCCGCCTAGAAATATGGATTGATCAGCTCTGTCGCAGGAAGAGGATGGGGTACCACTCAACAGAGAAGACCAGTTGCTTGGATAAAGACAGCTTGGTGTGGTCCTCCGATTTAATGAGGCTGAGAGTTGTTTTATCAGAGACTTTGGCAACATTTAGAGACATTTTAAAAAATATATATTTTATTGAGTTTTTACAGAGAGAGGGATAGAAAGCTAGAAACATCGATGAGAGAGAAACATCGATCAGCTGCCTCTTGCACACCCCCTACTGGGGATGTGCCCACAACCAAGGTGCATGCCCTTGACCAGTATCAAACCTGGGACCTTTCAGTCCGCAAGCTGATGCTCTATCCACTGAGCAAATCGGCTAGAAACATTTTTTGGTTGACACAACTGGGGGGAAGAGGGGCTACTGGTTCTAGTGGGTGGAAGCCAGGTGTTCTGCTCAGTATTCTACCACACACCAAGGACTTTCTGTCCCCAAATGCCAATAGTGCTAAGGTTGAGGGACCTGCCCCGATCCTGCAACAGCTTGTAAGGCCACTGCAATAATATTTCTATTTGTCAATACAAGGAACAGAGTTTCTAAGAGTTTTAAATACTTACGTGTATGGGGAAGAAGCAGGATACACACCTGGTGTCTGGTTCCACCCTAGCATTTGCCCCAGGATCAAGGAGAAGATGATTACACAATGGTTCAAACATCAGTTCTAGTCATAACTTTGTGAGCTCAGATGGACACTTCAAGCTGCCCAAGCCTTAGTTTTTTTCATATTTACACCGTGGCTCCCTTTTTCTCAGTTTTCTCGGGCTCTTCAATAGTCACAAGTAATTGCACATGTTGAGGGTCTACTGTGTGTCTTATAACACAATCATCAGCCCATGGTTAGGAGGGCTCCCAGCGCAGGCTGCTGTCGGAGTCCCTGGTTCTGGGTGGTCAGGGATTACTGTGTGCGGAACACTGGCCAATCTCTGGCCTTCCTGAGACAGATGGTCCCATGAGGAGGCTGCAAGTTGCTGGGGAGTCTACCAGCTGGGAATCTGGGAGCGTGACTAGTGCGCAACTGGAGGTGGTTTGGGAGACGGACTTCCCAAGTCCTCAGCAGCCAACCAACTAGCATACCATCTCTTGTGCCACATTTATAGCTGAAGGTGAGCTATAAAAATAGAAATACACCGAATTCTGGAGGTGTGAGCCTCGGTTCGAGGCAACCATTAGTAGCTTAGCCAGGCATTCCTAAGAAAGACTATGTACTCTTTTGGCTTACTGCCTGAAAGAGGAGTTTGTTCAAGCCCCAGATCAAAACTGCTGTCTCTGTCTAAAGCCATTGTGGGAAGCCAGGTTGCCCTGCTCTGCAATGACTGAGGTTAGGGTTTTAGCTGGGCACTGAAGCTTGAGTTTGACCTGGAGCTGGGACATGTCCAAAGGCAGCTCCCCAATCCCACCAGAATGAAGTTCAGTGTCACCAATGTATGGCTGGAGGCCGAGTCTGGCCTCAGTAAGTGTTTCATCAGTAATCATTACTGCTTCCCCCTGATCTTCTCTAGTGTGTCAGTCAGGCCCCTTACCCTCCCTTGAACATTACCAGAACATTCCTATTTGTCTGCCCTTTCCATGTCCAGTCTGAATCTATCTTTCCTGCCCTACCCAAAGGAACTCAGTGGAGATGCCATCCCCACAAGCCTCCTGCCTGGTCCAGCCAGTGTGGATGCTCCTTGGGAGGTTGGGGCACATGCTTTCCTTCACTTCTCATACCTGAATGTGGCTCTGTTTGAGTTTACGTGTGGATGTATCTGACCCTCTTGATTAGCTTGCAACGCGTGATCATACTTCACAAAGGTGATCATGTGGACACATTACATGCTTATGCTGCCTCCTGGCCATAGTTGCCTACTTTTGTTTTTCCCCTTTGATAACAGGGTGGGGGAGGTAATTTTTTGGTACTTCTTTGAGATGATCATATTAGGTGGCACC